CAAGAAAGAAGAACAACGGGGTTCGGCTCTTAATAGCCTTATCCCGCAAGTCACAATTGGACACGAGTAGCAAACAAGAATGATTAACACTATTGTAACTTGGCTCCAACGTACTTTAGCTCGCCCGCTATGGTAGAAAGCGGTAGCGCAAAGAGATTGGACATCAACAGTTCCCCTCGATCCACATGACACAATAATGTCAGGAGCCGAGAAGAGAGTCGCTCAACATGGCAAAAGATGTGGGGGTTAGCTAGGCACATCCATGTCATGTTCTCAGACACATCTTCGGGAAAGATGGTTTTAAACGGTCGATCGGGTCGACACGCACGGGTCCGAGGTACGACTTAGACCATAGCTTTGCTAACAAAAGGGAATAGTCCGGTCTTTGATCCAATCGTCACGGGCAAGACGGGATCGAATAGAGCGGGCTATCGGGGCAATAAGAGCAAGAACAACCAAGAGCAAGGTCCACTTCTTCTAACGCACACGCCACGACAAAGATGGGGCATCGGAAGGAGCGACACTCAAGTACACCAAGTGCGTAAGCCACTCGTTGGGTACCCGACCTGGGTGCACTGGCAATGAGATATCTCTCGGATTCGAAGCGGTGCGGTTGTCACCGCGAGAATCAGAGAAACGTGATGGTCAAATGGGGTACAAGCATACAAGGGCTTGAGCATGAAGAAGCAACTAAAAGCGAAAGAGAGGCGTAGCTTCATGGTCATGGCGAGGTGAACTCGTGGCCACAAGCTATGCCAATGAGTTGGCATTCATCGTTCCACGATTGTTTACTCCCAGGTTTTCTCCCACAGAACTTGGTCACGAAGGGCTCAAAATGTGCGGGTAATATCCGCATCGATATCGCCATCGATATTGAATCCATCATGACCACGTCCTAGGGCCGAAGGTAGGAGTTAACACTCGTGGTACTATGAAGTCAACTAAAAAGCGAGGGGTCGAGTTACACTCGGCATCATGGTCACGGCGAGATGGATCCCGCGATCGTAACGTCCGAACGAGGTACGATCCCTCAGCCTGCTCGAAGGCTCGTCACATAGGTAACAACACAAACAACCACGATAAGATCCAAACACGACCAAAAAGGCAACACGACTCGACACGACGGCGGAGTAGCACATTCCATAGCTGGATGATGGATAGATCCTGTAAGACAGGCATAAACAGATTGGCCGTGAGATTGGGGTCCGACAAGGTAGATGTGCATATACGGGAAGATAATAGATGGGGCTTTCAATCGTCATGGTAAGGCATCGACTAAGGTTCGATGACTCAAAGATCCAGAGGTAACGGCTCGCAGTAGACGGAGTCACAGCTTGCATCTGGTCAACAATGGCCCGCTATGGCTCGATATGGCTTTAGTTAGCCAGTCTCGTGGGGCTACGGTGGGCCGTGGTTGGCTGGTCATGGCTACAGGTGGCCAAGGGTTGGCTACGAGCGTCGAGTCTTTGGCTTAGGCATATATCACGGCCGTTAGGTGCTAGGGTCCCGCGGTGGCAATCCAAAGTTAGTTTGTGAGCTGCGCGAACGTGAGTGAGCGCAAGCATTGTGATGGCTTACCATTTGGAGGGGTCGGAAATACTCAAGGATGGGTCCATGACGTAGGGCTTGATTTTAGAAAAAATATGAAACTGGTTTCATAATTTTAGGAGCTAAGATGAATTTTTGGCAAATTTCCAAATGTGGCTAAGAATTTCAAAAAAATCGAAAAAAGGATGGAAAGGGGCGGCTTTGATTCTTGCTGCTTCCCCTCTTTGTGGCCCACTACAGGCTCATGTATGCCACTGGCCGGAGTGGGCTGGGTTGGCTTGTTTGGCCGCCCACCCACGAGGAGAGGAAAAGGAGTAGAGGGGCCAGCACTTGGGCTCCTGGTGCTGCTGACGACCCAAGAAGAGAGGAGGCCCAAGACTTGAAGAAGAGGAGGCCGCCGGCTGCTGTGGCTTTTATAGCATGAGGGTTTGGGCTTCTAGGGGGTGCCGATGATCCTCGGCATCCGTGCACAGGTAGGGACACGCGGCCTTGAATCGAGGAGCCAGGCAGTGAGGCGTGGGTGAGGGCGCGCAAGTGCGCATCACGCAGCAGTCAGAGCGGCGTTGGCGTTAGGGCGAGGGTCGCGTGCGCCTCTGCCTGTGGTTCCGAAGGTGTGTCTGTAGCGCATCTTGGGCCAGCTGGGCAAGGAGGGGGTGAGAAGGGTGGCCGCAAGGGGCAGCTGGGCCGATCTTCTTTGGGCAGCTTAGCCATGCATCTTGTGTGGGTCAAGGGAGGATAGAGGGGCCGGCCAGCTGCTGCTGCCGGTTGGGCCAAGGTGCCACACCATGAGGGGCCAGAAGGAAGGAGTGGCGAGCTGGGCCGAGGGAGAGAAGGGCGAGCGGGCTAACTTGGCACCTTGGGCCGAAATGGCTTTCCTATTTTCCTCCCCTTTTCTAATTTCTTTTCTATTTCTTGTTCCATTATACTTACTTCCGAGAGCTCTAGGTTGGTCTACATGCGTCGCCTATCACGTGTTCACCCAGGTGGGGTCCACTAGGGTCTACTACGGGTCTCAGAATCCAACGCCAAGGGTTGGCATCGACGGGCATTGATTTACAAGGAAGGTCGATTGACTTTATGAATTAGATCAAGGGATTCGAATGAGGTTCAAAAGCAAAAAGATGAATTGAGAAAGAGGAAAAGGGATTCATAAGATATTCTAGAAGGGATCGAAAGGATTTGCTACGGACTTGTGCTTTCTGACTCAAAACACTAAACCAACAAAAGATCTCTGGCAAACTCCTACAAGTAATTCTATATGCATGCAACAATTTATTTATAAATTGTTCTTTGTTTGACCTAGCATCTACATGCTTCACATATTGCAGGAATTTTTTTAAAAAGTTCGTATTTTTGGCTTCTCCAAAAACCCGGGTTGTTACAGGAGGCTTGTTGGAGCAGCCAAGACAGTTAACCTTGCTATAGCTGCTGGTCTTGCAGCCTTTCCTGACCTTCAACCTATTGCTCCTCTTGACTTCAATCTCAACCAGACAAACCTTTGCATTCTTGGAACTAACATTCTATTTAGGGATCATTTTAGCAGGCTCGATAGTTTTCTTGTCAGGGAAAATTTTAGCCAGGTCAGGATCCTCTTCCATGTCTTCCTCATTTTCATCTTATATGTCCTCTTCTTCAGTTGTCAGTGTTAGACATAATCTCCTGCTCCCTATTTCTTTCTGGTTGGAGACTGGTCGGCTTGGCCGACCACTCCCTGTTGGGAGTTGGGGACTGATCGGCTCTGCCGACCAGTTTCTATAATTGATAGCTATTACATCAGCCATGTCTTGGTAGTGGGCTGAGATAAGCTTTGTACTCTTGTACTCAGGAGTAGGTAGTTGGCCAACAACTATGTACCTAGTAGAGGTATATTTAGAGTTATATATATTCCATCCAAAGGGTAATAGAATACTAAGTTCAGTTGCCACACTCAGACTATAGAACTCTGGTTCAGAGCAGCTCTGGTTCAAAGCTACAGCGGAAAGCTCCGACCAACGCTGGTGCTTGTGCAGAGTGTGTGTGTGCGTTGTCCTCGTCTATCTTCTTCTACCTCTAGCCATAGTGAGTGAAGTGTGTCGGTCGGTAAGCTAGCTGTTTACCGGTGCTGGGCAGCTGAGGGACTAACAGTCGGAGGGTACCATTCTGCCAGTTCTGAGCAACCTGCCGTTACTCACAATAGGTGTTTATTATTATCACTCATGATAAAAATGGTGAAAGAAAAATGGAGACCGGGCAGGGATGTGGTATGAGTATTGGTGGGTGTAAGAAGTTGTGTCCTGCGGCCAACGAGGCATAGCTTGGTTGCACTGTTTTCCCTGTCTGTGTCGGTTAAGGACCGGCCGTTGCATTGGGTTCTAGGCAGGTCACAAACTTATTATTCCGAACACATACTTGTGTATGGGCGTAGGGAAGACTTGTTGCTCTCTTGTCGTGGGTTCCGGCTCTTTCCGGGCCGACTGATTGGAGGCGGAAATGGTGGAGGTCTAAGCATCACACTGAGTCTGGGACTTAGGAGCGGGGGCTTGGAGTCCAAGTTTGGACAGGGACCTAGACCCGTGACAGGAGAGTGGTGGATTGGTCCTATTTGTGCTTGGGGTACAAGCGGGGCGTGTGTTTCGGGGTACACAGCTGGGCACATTGATTCACGAATCGTTGGCAATTCGATACGGCTTGTCTATAGTCTAGCATCGTAGTAAGAACTGGAAGATGAAAGGTGGTGAAATGAAATTATTTGCTCAACTCTTGCTTGATAGTAGAACAGGTGCTTACATAGAATGGTTAGATAATGAACTAATCATAACTGCTAATAATAAACATACATAAGGATTCACTATTAGTATTGCTTTCTGCAAAAAGGAAACCCAGCAAACCATAAGGCTTATCATATTCCTTGGAGTCAGAAAATTATTCCCACTAGTCGGATAAGTCTTGCGAGTATATTGTGTACTCAGGGTTTATTTACCCCTATTGCAGGTGCAGCTTGAGGAGTAGCTGTTGTGTGAAGGATTCTTCTAGTGGGCACAGACAGATCCTTGTATATTATCGATAGATGTTTATTTTCATTCCGCTGTTTAATTTCCACACTCTGAACTTGGTAACGTAATAATGTATTTCTAAGAACTCTAGTTGTATAAAATGGATTAAGTATTGTAAACTCGTTCTCATTATTGGATCCTGGAGAAAAAATATGGATTATTCGAGTTCTCCCTTGGGGTGTGCTCGATGGAATCCGCCCGACGTAGCTTGCTTTCGGGGTGCTTAGTGTCTGGTGTTGGACGAGCGCCTCCGAAGGTGTGTTATTTCAGACGGTTCTGCCACATGAAATCAGGATTTTGGTCCTAAGAAATCATCTTACCAAAAGGAGCCAGAGCATTATCTATATATTCTTCCTCAACATAATCAAAGGGGAAACCTAGCAACATTAACCAAACTTCCCTGTTGAAGGTGACTCGTCTCTAGTTGCGGCCTTGATTGTGCCACACAAAGGAGATGGCGACATTGTCAAACTGATGTGGGCTATTGGCAATCAAACTATCCATGTCATACACACGCTCAAACCGAACAAGAGCTTGACTGAGATGGGTACGCTGAATCACACGGGTCTGAACTCTTGTCACATCCGCAAATAAGTCATCTAGTACCTCACTGACTGCATTGAAGTTTAGGACATTACCCGGGATCAGGTGGATGGTGGCAATCGCCCAGTCTTCATGCCGTGGGAGTGGCCTTGAGCTTGCCACTGCCCTGATCATGAACTGCTGATTCTCCACGTGTTCTAGGTGCATCCTTGGTGGAAGGAAGGGTACCGGGTCAGCTCTCTAGAACGCCATTTGGGCTTGTGGTGGCTCAAGTAAGCTCTGAGTTTGCTGTGCTAGTGATAGAGAGTTGGGGTTTTCTTGGGTCACTGCTGGTCACGACGAATTTAACTCAGCTCTGTTGGAAGGCGAAGGGTTGAGGACAAGATTTAGCTCAAGTGACATCGGCGCTCTCTCTTTTGTGTGGGGCACCCAAGCTTGGGGTCCATCTGTCATTGACTTGGGAGGAAGAGTCCATTCCACAACTTTTTCTTTCAAGGTCACGCAGCCTAGGTGTAAATGCCTGTTGACCCAATCCGAGAAGGAATAAAAACCGGGGGGCGCACTCAGGCCAAGCCCAGAGGGAGCTACAAATGAGTTGGGCTGCTCGAGGGGCGCTTTTCCTTTAATTGCATCTAAAAGCTGCCCAAAGTTACTGCACAACCCTCCTTTAACTGGGCAGTTAAGCTAGACATGTCCCCAATGTAAGCATGCAAGACATTTAATGGGAGCTCTGCAATCCTTCCTCGCATGCGAATTGGACAGACAGTGCGAGCAAATCCCGGGGTCTGCAAAAGAGGTAAGATTTCCTGACTTGGGCTTTGACCTTTCATTTAGATTCAAATTCAAGCTGCGACCCCATTTGGCAGAGACTCGATCAACTAGGTGCAGTCCAAGAATTGAATTGTCATGGAAAGAAGAACCAAGCCGCAACTGCTCAATGGACTAAGGAAAATCAAGGCACTTGAACACAAATGTTCGAACCGGGATGGCGTTGGACTGAGGAAAATTGAGGCATGTGAACACAGATGTTCAAACAGGGATGGCGTTGGCCCCAGTCATGATCTTGACTGAATGCTTAGCAGGGAGCCAAGAACTTTCTTCTTCAGACATGAATTTTCCCCATTCTAGCTACCAATTTGGACCTCCATTGTTCCAGAGGTGGATGAAGAACTTGTACTAACGACAGGTAAAAGAGCAGCATTTATAGAAGTCACCCACCAAGTTAGAAGAAACAGAGAAGTGAAACACACGATCGCCAAGAGCGAGGACCTTAAAATCAGCGACAACTCCACCAAGAGAAGCTCGAAGAATCAAACCAACAGAAAGAGGACACAGGCGAAAACACAGCGACCAAAAGAAACAACTAAGAAAAAAGGTTGGGTGGCGTTTCCAGAGATGGAGACAGGAGACCCAGGGGAACGCCAAATCTGGAGCTGAGTGGTCAAACCAGGTTGGAAGTCGAGGCCTGAGAGCTCCATGATGGCGCTAGCCATGTTGAGGAGCACCAAGGCAGAGGCGTAAGCAGCTAGAAACTATCAAACATGGCGGAGGCCATTGGCGTTTGGGCAGCTCTAACAGCATCGAAGGACTTGAACATCTTCCAGAGCCTGGAGACGCGGTGTTGGACAAGCAGATGAGGTGTGGAAGCCAGTGACCAGTGGCGGCGAGGTGGACACCAGGCGTGCCGGAGCGTTGGATGCCGGGGCCAGGGTGGCCACCGGCAGGGAGCTCAGTGGGAGCTCAGCGGTGGAGCGTACATCGATGTCCTTGATGACAGGAGTCCTCTGTCAGTGCCAGCCCGACCAAGCCCACCCAAGTGTGGTGATGGATGGTAACAATCTGGGTTAATGATGTTGGTGGCCATGCGGATGTGACTACAGCGCCCGCACACATCGCCATTGGTTGCATGTTGTAGTGCTCATAGTACAGACAATTGTTGTGGGGTGATGTCTCTTTTGTGCGGGATGAGGTGGGATGTGTGTGCGAAAGCCTCAACAAGCTCCGAGAGCCTTCAACGGCGACGCCGCTGGGTGCCACTCCATTCCTTGGCACTACATTCCTTGGAAGTCATCAAGGCAGTTCTCTTCTACTCTTGGGACTCTTTAGGGATACTTTGCCTAGGGTCTCTAGGCAAGTGACGGCAACACTAGGTATTGTTTAATTTCCCCCTTGGAGGGGTTGACTAGGAGATCCTGCATAGTCTTGCTAGATGTTGGTCCATGTGGGACATTTAGGGCGTGTTTGATAACATGCCTCTGGCCGGCCTGGCTATGGCCAGCTAGAGTCAGGTCCAAATGGTGCAAGACTGCAAGTGATCGTGTTTGATTGCCGAGCTCTGCAGAGCTGAGCTCAGATGAGAACGTGTTTGTTTACCTGTACTGAGAGAGTATGGCTACCTTGCACAAGAATGTGGTAGCCTTACCACCACAACACTCTTCACTGGCATTTCCTCGAGCAGTTGATGGGTGCGTGCCAGTCTAGCGCCATGGCATTGAGAAGTCGGTGGATTTAGGTGCAGAGGCGGGCTTGGCGCAGCAGTGGAGGCACCATGCACGTGCGTGGCCGGCGTGGCGCGGCGGTGGAGGACGTGCGTGGCTGACTCGGTGCGGCAGCGGAGGCACCACGCGCACGCACGACCAGTTAGGCATGGCGGCGGCGGCACCACACGCGCGTGGCCTCGCGGACTATCTTGGCAAGCTCCTCGTCGAAGAGTCGCTCGCCGAGGTTCTAGAGGGCATGGCGGATGTCAAGAATAGGGTTAACGAGGTTACCCTCCTGGGATCCTCGGCTGCGTGTTATGTAGGTGGGAAGAGCCCCCACCATGGCAAGTTACATCAATTGAGGAATTACAACCACCTATTCCTAAAATAGCTCAACTATCTATTTCTAGTATAACAAACATGCAAGGTACAATGAACTCGGTCCATGCTTCCAAACCGCAGCCCCTATACATGTGCTAGACCATTCCTTCTAACACCCCTCCTCAATCTCAGCCACTTCTAAGGTTGAGATTGTTCCTGAATTGTCGAAGCTTCACAATCGGTAGTGCCTTGGTGAACCCGTCTGCTACTTGATCACCTGTGTGTATGAAACGAATATCCAGTAGCTTTTGTGCAACTCTCTCCCGCACGAAATGAAAATCAATTTCTATATGTTTGGTCCTGGCATGAAAGATAGGATTAGCAGCTAGATATTTTGCTCCTATGTTATCGCACCACAACAGAGCTCGGGGTGGATGTGCAACACCAAGTTCAGTGAGCAATTTCTGAACCCAAATCATTTTTGCAGTAGCATTTGCTAGTGCTTTGTATTCAACTTGATTACTAGATCTCGAAACCACGGTTGGTGCTTTACGGCTATCCAGAAACCAGATTTTCGCCAAGAAACACGGCAAAACCACACTGTTGATCTTCTATCATCAACACAACCGCCCAATCTGCATCGAGAGAAGGAACTAACAAGCATAGACCTAGACCTTCGAATCAGAGACCAAGATTTACGGTCCCTTTACATACCTTAGGATTCGTTTTACTGGCGCTCCAATGTACGATGGTTGGGGCATGCAGAACCGCATACTTTATTAACGCAAAGGCTATGTCGGGACATGTCAAAGTAAGATATTGGAGAGCTCCAACCATGCTACGGTACTTGGTAGAGTCATCGGGTCCTAGCTTATCACCACTCTCAATGCTTAGTTTTTCGATGGGTGACAATGGTGTATCAACCGGTTTGCGAGTTGCATGCCCCGACCATTTCAAAATATCCAAAGCATACCTTTCTTGGGTGAGAGTCAAACCATCACGCCCCCTCTTGACTTCGATGCCCAAGAAGAAGTGAAGATCACCAAGATCTTTGAGGGCAAACTCGGCCCGCAGATCGGCTAGAAGTGCATCTGTTGCCTGAGAAGACGAACTAGCAACAATAATATCATCGACATAAACAAGAACAAATATCTCGTGGCCCCTTTTGCTATAGTAGAAGAGGGAAGTGTCGGCTTTGGAAGGCACAAAACCAAGACATTGCAACTTCTTGCTGGCGAGCATACCACGCTCTAGGAGCTTGTTTGAGCCCATACAATGCCTTGTCCAACTTGCAAATGTAGTTGGGATGAGATGGATCTTCATACCCTGGAGGTTGATGCATATACACTTCCTCCTCAAGAACACCATGGAGGAAAGCATTCTGAACATCAAGCTACCTCAGTGACCAACCCCTGGACATGGCAACAGACAAAACAATACGAATAGTTGCAGCCTTAACAATGGGACTAAAAGTGTCCTCATAGTCAATCCCATATTGTTGCTTATACCCTTTAGCCACCAAGCGAGCCTTGTAACGATCAACAGTTCCATCAGCCTTCCGTTTTATCTTATAAACCCATTTGCACCCAACGGTATTTTTACCTTTCGGTGGAGGAACAAGATGCCAAGTTTTGTTGCATAGGAGGGCTTGGTGCTCAAGGTCCATGGTCGACACCCACTTCGGATCACCTTGTGCTTCTGTCACTGAGCTAGGTTCATCATAAGAGGTGGTGGTGAGCTGACACCATCGTACAGTCCCATCGGTGTAGACCTTTGGCTTGCTGATCCCTTGCTGAAGCCTGGTAACCGGCCCCTACGGCATTTGTGCAGCGACCGGTGATGAAGCCACGGGTGAAACCACAGACGGCGACGGAGCAGCAGATCCCATAGGCAAAACCTGCGGACCCCCACTCCCCGGATCATGCTGTGGCGGTTCCGTCGGTGCAGTCCGCGCAGCACCACCAGATCCTGGCGTAGAAGATCCGCTCACATGGGGAGACAGCGTCGGAGACGCGCCTGGCGAGAGGACGGGCGTCGATCCCGCAGTAGATGCACCGCCAGGATCAGATGCCGCGTCAGTGAGATCCACTCCGGGCGCGCTGCTATCCCCGACGGGGGGGGGCACATGAAATGACGCCCCCACTTGAACTTTGTGAGCTGCATGAATGTGGCATTGCGTCGAAATTTTGCCTTGCAACACTTTGATCTCCAGCAAAAACATTTGAACCATTAGAAGGTAATGGAGAAAACAACCCAAAGTCATACATTTGTGCATCCCCAGTACTAGTTGGATTGATTAGGACATTGGGTAGAAGTGCAATCTCGACACGCAACCGTGCACCAGCATTAGGATGGAGAGAGGCAAAAGGAAACACATGCTCATCAAACGTGACATCCCTAGAAATG